ACTAGGACTTACAAACTGAAGCCATGCGTGTGTCTTGGGCGGCAGCAAGACAAGATGGTGGATCCCAGTGCCGTTACCCACCAGACCCAGGGCTTATAGGAAAGGCAAGGATGCTTTGTGAATCTGCCTGAGAGCAAGATTTGTGCTCAAGATTGTTTTGACCTAAGGCAGGATTTAAGGTAGCTGTAGATAAAGTAGAAATCTTAGAGGCATTCCCAGAACAGGAGTTAACCAGGAATCAACATGGTACATCAACATCCAAGATGAAATTGTTTTAGCCACCACACTGACTGTTCTCCCCTGGTCTGGTCATTTCTTGCTGATTGGATGATAATTAGACACCCAACCTTGGAAGGCCCAAACTAAAAAGAGGGTAGGAAAATGCCATAGGGCTTTTCCTTGTGACCCCATGAAATAGGCAGCGTGGAGCTTAGAAGTCATATGTCCAGGCTGTGGAGGTCATGCTCCTCAGTGTTGTCAGAGAAGTTAGTGGCAGGGCCTCTGGACTATAAATCTTTTAAAGCTGAAATTTGGCCAGGCACAGTGGCTCATAACCATAATCTTAGCACTTTGAAGTCAAGGCAGAAGGATTATTTGAATCCAGGAGTTGGAGACCAGCCTTGACAACAAAGTGAGACCCAGTCTCTATAATAAATTTTAAAAATTAAAAAAACTACTCAGGTGTGGTGCTACACACCAGTGGTCCCAGCTACTCTAGAGGCTGAGGCAGGAGAATTGCTTGAAACTGGAACTCATCAGAACTCAAGGCTGCAGTGAGCTGTAATTATGCCACTGCACTCCAGCCTGAACAGCAGAGTAAATGAGACCCTGTGACTAAAAATAAAAAGCTGGCATTTCATTTCCTTCTTCCATATACCTTCCAGCCCTTCTCTACCCTTAGAAAAACTTTATTTTTTAATCTAGGGCGAATGTGATGGAAATGATTAGCACATATCTGTCCCCATGCCAAGTTAGGGTCCTGGACTGTGTAAACAGAAGTAGAGCATTTCCAAACTCTGAGGTCATCTTTCCACTGTGTTCAGCTTAGGTCGGGTGCTTGCTGAAATGCTGCCTCGCCAGCCGAGAGTAACCAAAGCCATTCATGGGTTGCCTGTAGAGTGAGACCAAAACATTGGAATTATTTTCCTTGCAGGAGGTTAACTTTCGGATCCTTAATAACAGTTGGTTTTAAATTGGTGCAGAGTATTTGGGCTGAATGAATCAGAGGGAATAGGCTGACCGGGTGAGGTGTCAGAGTCAGTGTCATCAGATGGGATCTCTGCGCATCTTGGGAGGATTGGGTGGCCAATCTGGTGGTTTATTATTTTGTTCCCCTGAATTATTGATGATATTTATAGTGATGTGTTAAGAATTCAGAAGAGGCTGGTAGACTTTCCTGAATGAAAAGCTTTCCCAAGCGAGATGACTTATAAATCTTATAAAAATGCATCCCGTGAATGGAAGATTTCTGCTCTGAAAAAGAACTCTTGAAATATATTGGCACCAGGAGGGTAGTCTGAATGCAAAGATGAGTTGATACAAGCTTCATTCAACTTTTATTATAATTACTACTACTACTAATAGTGTATTAAATGAAAGTTATCTGCCTATCTTTTCATCTCTATAGGACTTGATGATTAAAAAAACAGACCATTTGTATTCTAGTAGCTTGCAAAGGATTAGGGGAGACAGGCTACCAAACTACCAAGGGGAGGCTTAACATGTTAACTAGGGAGGTGAGTGTGGCCTGCTAGACCACCTGTATCCCCAAATTGAATAGCCAGATTACAAAGACACGGCCTTGGGCCAGCTCCTGAGCTCTGCCTTTGAACTCTTGTCAACACCAAGTTTATTCATGTTCTCAAAGCATAGCGGGTTTACTATTGTTAGCTCCTCTTGGGGTGTCTAGAATAAAGCCAGCAACACGTTTAAAGTGAATCTGGGCTCACAGATACAACCAAAAGTGTTCTTTTTGAAACACAGAATTTGAGATCATTTTAGCCTATGCTTAAAGAAAGTGTAAAATGGATGCGGGTTTGATTTTTTCCTTTTTAGAAGGAGAAATAATAAATAGGATGGTTTGTCTGTAGACCCAGTCCTTTTAAGTAAGGACCCTAAAAAGTTGTTTTCCGGCCCTGTTCTCTCCCATCACAGGCATTGCCGAGCCTACTGTGTGCATAGTATTATCAGGGTGTTAGGTACACGGTGGACATTTAAAAAGCGTTTTAGAGGAGGCTTTGCATTTGGTTGTTGGAGAGCCCTGGTGGTGGACTCCTTGGGTATCTTGCTTTAGTTCTTAAGAATTGCTACTTTTTCTTTATGTTGATGTAAAACTGAAAGTGCCACGTTCTACACTCGTTTAAAAAAAATCTGTATCTGTGTGATTTCTTCCCCAATTGCTAGAAAATCCACCCAGAGAGAACACCTTCAGAAAAATTGTTAGCTGTGAAGGAGTTTGAATCACGTAAGTCTTTCTGTGACCAGCCGCCCAGTTCTTTTCCCCACAAATTTCACACGGGTTAGAAAGGATTGAAGCGAGGACGGGCTAACTTGTGCTCAGAGGAGTAGTAATTTCTTTAGTTACTAGTTTGCATTTTGATTTGTATGCTGTTTTGAAAAACACTTTTTACTTTTTTTCTTCTGAGTTGACAGTATTATTAGGGAATAGTTAAGGGAGGTAGGAGCTCCCAAGATGAATTATTGCACCCTGAGCTACCTCCTGCTCACCTTCTTGGCATGCTGAATATTTTTGGATCTTTGCTGAATTGCAGTCCTGTAAATAGCTGATGTTCTTACTGAAAGCCATGAAATCTGGGCTTGTCTAGTTGTTTGACCATAGCCCAGATTCCCGGGCCATTGCAGGGCCCTGGAGTAGGCTGAGGCTGGTTCTGAGTCATTGCTAACTCCTCCCTAACCTCATTGCTAACAGTCGAAATCCCACGTCCTGAGCAACTTCTAGTCATCAGAGGAAGACAAGGAAGAAATGGCTTGCTTTCTTTTCCTAGGGTTTGTCAGTTAGACCAAGTGATGGGGAAGAATGTTCTCTGGGGGTTCAACATGTTTTGGGGTTCTCCCCGCCCCTCCCCCCCGCTTTCCTCTATATCGTTTACAGCAAAAATAGGATGTAGCTAGAAATCCTGAGTTTTCTACTGGGTGAGTAATGGATTGTTCATCCACAGATCTGGATAAGTTAGACAATGAGAAGAAGGATTTGATTCAGAGTGACATTGCTGCTCTCCATCACTTTTACTCCAAGCATCTTGAATTCCCGGACAATGATAGCCTCGTAGTACTCTTTGCACAGGTAAGGATGCCGGCAGCAGGTAACACTCAGTCTGGCCTTTCCCTCTCCAAGGCTGTCTCCCCAGCACGCACTCAGTGAAGATGAATGCAAATAGAACGATGGCATCTTCCTGACAACTAGGCTCTGAGCCAATTGGACCCTGTGTTGCCATAGCCTTGCTCGGTGACCTTGAGCAGATCAAGGTCCTCTCTGCTGGCCCTCATTGATGGGTGGAGTGTAGGAAATTCGCCTCTGCTTCTGCCTCACAAAGAGTTCATGAAAACAAAGGAGTTGTCAGTGCCCTGGTACTCTGGCATACTTTAAGCTCTTTGCAAAGAAAAGACCATTTGAAGTTCCTACATTAAATTTTACTTTTACTCTCTTAAACCTTCTGTTCTATCTGTAGTGTTTTTTCACTGTAACTGAGGCTGCACTGATCGAGCAGAGGCATAGACAGGGGGGCCCTTTCTGATGGCCTAAGGAAGGGCAGTCACCGCCGAGAGGTGCCCAAGTGGGTCTAGGTGCCGGCAGTCTTTCCTGATGGTGGCTAAGAAAGCTTGTTTAGAGAAGCCTAGGTTTACCAAAATCAGACCTAACGAAAACTTAGAGAGGCTTCTAAGCAAGAGCAATTTGAAAGTGATTAAAGCTTTGGAAACTAGGCCACTGGCAAGGTGAAGGCTTGGGCATTGTTAGGATGAGAGAAGAAAGGGCGCAGCAGCCATGCTTTGGGGAACACTCAGCCTTCCTGTAATCATGAGGGTGGCTTTTCCTGCCCTGACTTAGTAGATTGGATTTCTCTCTTTCGTATGCCCTTGTGATTTCCTCTACAAACTGGGCATCTAGTTGAAAGTGACCTTGCCAGATAGGGAAATACTGGAATTCTGGTCCGTGGGAACAAGAAACTGTATCAGTCTCCAGATGTGTAAAAGACATGAAGTGGATGCTTCCATGGTTTTGTCTTAGAATAGAATAAGCATTATGTGATGTACCCTTTGGCCAGTAACTCTATTTGCAGGAATCTGTCCTAAGGATATAATCAGAAATCATGGGCAGAGATTTTACATACAAATTGTTTATTGTAGGATTCTTTTAAAAGCCGAAGGCAGAAAGGAAAGAAGGAAGGAGGGGAGGAAAGGAGGGAGAAAGGGAAAGAGGAAAAGGAAATATTAGAAATGGCCAGCAGTGGGAGTTTGGTTAAATAAATTATGGCATCTCCCTGTGATGGAAGGTTACATAACTTTTATAAGTTAAGTTTCAAAGGTTGTCTAAACATTTGGGAAAATGCTGATGACATAACATTAAGTATCAAAGCAGTATAACCAAAAAGTATAATATGAAAACACACATACATAACTTAAAGAAAGATTAAATGGAAGTTCACAGTTGTCTTCTGAGTTATGGAAAAATTTAGACTTTTTACTGGATGAATTTCTGGATTTTCTACAGTGAGCACATATAACTTAAAAGCATACTAAGACATATTAAGAAAGAGAAAAGGCAAAACACACACACTTTAGAAAGTACACACATAAAGAAGTGGCCAGACACCATGGTATGTGTCTGTAGTCCCAGCTACTCAGGAGGCAGAGGCAGGAGGATCACTTGAACCCAAGGGTTTGAGGCTGCAGTGAGCTATGATTGCACCACTGCACTTCAGCCTCGGCAACAGAGTGAGACCCTGTCTATAATGAAAAAAAAAAGTGAGTCGTTCATCACTTCTGCCTGCTTCAGCTTCCCCACACTGTGAACCACTATTAACAATTTATTGAATTCTTTTATAAACTTTATTTAGATCTATTTCAATTATATGACTGTCATAATCAGAAAAATATGCTATTCCTTGTAGGTGAAAAAGTGGCTTCAAGTTTTGAGTGTTAAGGTAGAAGGAATAAATGACCTTTCTCATTTTCATATTATCCTGAGTTTATACTGTACTTTCTCCTAAGTGCTCTGAGACAGTAGATTTGGCTGACAATGGGAAGTGAGGAATCGACTTCTCTTACATTTTCTGAAAAACTAAATACATAATTTTTTTCTGGATTAAATGAGGTATGGGTATATGAGAAAGCAGAGAGATGAAATGAAGTATCCACTCTTCTGGCTATGCAAAAAGATAGCTTTTCCTCTAACACAGTGATGCATGCTGATAAAATTTCTCAGTGTTGACACAGTACATACAGGACCATATTTTCATAACCAAAAATCAAGTCACTCGATCTCATAAGTAGAAGTATATTTGTAGTGAAAGTGACTGACTCTTTGAATTATGGACTCAGAAAATTCAGGACATTTGTATACCTTAAAAAATGTATATATACACATACATACACATATACATATATAAGTATAGAGAATTAATTCCTTTATAGACTTTATCAGATAAGTATACATTTTGAGATTATATGTGTTCACACAAATACACAACACACACACACTTTTTTCATATATAAATTTGAAAGGGGGTTATTTACTATCCCCAAAGAAAATTCTAAAGCAGAAATGCAAAGTGCTGCTGCAGCCACATGCCACCGGTCCCTCCTCTCAGCCAGCAGCTACATGTCTGCTGTTCCAGCCCCTGAGCCCTTTCCACCATCTGGTCCATGGGAGGCTGTTGTGGGTTACCTCAAGACCTGGCAGCAGCTGGCAGCAGAAGGTGACCGCACATCTCTGACAGCATCGAGGTGTGTTCTAATCACTGGGAACATATGCATGATTGGGAAGTGTATTTTTGGTGTGCAGTCTACATCTAGTTTAAATGCTAATTATGAGAATAGCCTTAGCAAGGTTCTTACGCCTGATTTGAGTTCAGACAAAGGACTATGGACCCTGCATTTTTCTTAACATGCAAGTTCACTTTTCTTCTCTAGGGATATTTCAGAAGGGAGGGAAAGCTGGCAGGAAAATTGCTGTGTAAGTAGGCTTAAACACCATCACAAAAGGAACAGTAATGACTTTTAGGCTCATGGGAGCCTTAGCTTATGAAGAAACACGCGCATTCTTCCACAGTAAGAGGAGCGGGAGGGAATAAAGGGACTGATGGTCATAAAGTGACCGAGTCTGGAGAAATCTGGAATTGTAGACTGGGCTCATTGAGCCTGCTGCAGATGAGGGACTGAAAAGCAAAAGAAACAAGAACCCCACCTCCTGAAGTAGTCAGAAGCTGTCTGTCCCTAGGTCAGCTTTGAAAATTGTTGCAAACTTGCCTGATGCATTGTTTCATTCTGAAAACATTTGCACCAGATACTGCTGAGGCTGTTAGTATTCAGTCTGAGATGATACATAGATCATTTAGAACCCAGTATAATACAGGACACAGGTCATGCGCCAGTAATTTTGTTGAATGAATGAAAATTTACTCTTTTTTTTTTTTTTTTTTTAAGACTGAGTCTCGCTGTGTCGCCCAGGCCGGAGTGCAGTGGCTTGATCTCGGCTCACTGCAACCTCCATCTCCTGGGTTCAAGCAATTATCCTACCTCAGCTTCCCAAGTCGCTGGGATTATAGGCACCTGCCACCACACCCTGCTAAGTTTTGCATTTTTAGTAGAGATGGGGTTTCGCCTTGTTGGCCAAGGTGGTCTTGAACTCCTGACCTTAGGTCATCCGCCTGCCTCGGCCTCCCAAAGTGCTGGGATTATAGGCATGAGCCACCGCACCTGGCCTAATTTACTCTTACCTAATGTTGGTTGATGGTCATTGGTTAATGGTTGTTAGTCAATGTCTGTATGACAGAATTGGTGAGGGTACTTGGAGTTGGCCCAAAATATAGTTTTTTACTTAGTTGCCCAACCCCTCAGGATTTCAAAGGCTGTGTATTATTTTACTAACCCACAGTTCCCTCCCATTTTCTGCTTTTTATGTTGAATTGTAAATACTGCCAGTCAAACCCATCATAGCTCTTACTGCTTTGTATTCCAAGACCCTGCGTTTGGCCCTTTCATGTTAAGTAAAATAACCACATTAAATTTAATAGATCAGATCAATTTTAGAAGGAACATGGTACAGTGTGGAGAAACCAGAGTCACCGTCAGAATGCCTAGTCTGAATTCTGACTCCTGCTCTGCCACTTACCACTTACATGTCCTTGAGCAAGTCACTTAATCCCTCAACCTTCCTGAGCCTTAATTTTCACATCTGTAAAATGAGTTGCTGTAGTAATGCTATAGTGATATTGCAGATTTATGAGACGGTAAATCTGCAGTTCCTAGCACAGTGCCTGGCCCAGTGTGAGTGCTCAGAAGATGCTAGTTTCACAAAGCCCATCTGGTGGCCTGAGTTGTAGCAGTGCAGTGTCTCTAAGTGCGGAAGAGAGTGGGGTGGAATCGTTCAGTGTGCATGCCTCTCAGAGCCTTCATAGCAGCGTGGGACAAGCAAGGACTTTGTTACCAAGTGGCTTTGTGACTGTGGACAAGTCAGTGTTCATCTCCGACTTTAGTTCGTCCTCTAAAAAGTAGACTCTGAGTTTTCTTCCAGCACTGAAATTTTAGAAACATGAAGAACACCCACTGAATTGTCTCCCAATAGTCTGGTGTTCTTTGAGGGCACAGATTTTCAGCCTGTTTGTCTTTCTGTGTACAGTGCCCAGCACGTAAGGGCTCTCAGTACATATCTGTGGAAAGAATTAGAGCAGGACAGAAATTCGCCATATGTAGTCCTCGTTTTCAGCCTGCTTGTTCTAAGTTAGGCTTCCAGAGTAGTCAAAGTTGCCCTTGGTATTTTTCTATGCAACATTTTTTTTTTCGAGATGGTGTCTTATGCTGTCACCCAGGCTGGAGTGCAGTGGTGTAATCTCAGCTCACTGCAACCTCCGCTTCCCAGGTTCAAGTGATCTTTCTGCCTCAGCCTCCTGAGTAGGTGGAGTAGCTGGGATTACAGGTGCACACCACCAGGCCCAGCTAATTTTTGTATTTTTAGTAGAGACGGGGTTTCACTGTCTTGGCCAGACTGGTCTTGAACTCCTGACCTCAGGTGATCTGCCCGCCTTGGCCTCTCACAGGTGTGAGCTACTGTACCCTGTACAATGTTTCTTTTAAGGGATAAGAACATGGCTCATAGTTGATTTGGCTGAGACTTGAAAAGCAAGGTCTCAGTCCCTTAGCTTCAAGCCCTCAATCCCTCTGCCTCTCACACAGAGAGGGGGATGGCAATTAGATTAGATGAATAAGGGCTTCATATTTACCACCTCACCTTATGAGATAGGCATTGGATTGATTCCTTTCTTTAAAGACACAGTGACTCAGTGACAGGCTCACGATCATACAACAAAGCTGTAGCATAATTGAGATTAGACGCCAGGTATCGTCACCCCCATGCCAGTGTGCAAACGTCGTCCTCGGAGCCTTAGGATTCTTGGGCATGCTTGGGCCACTGTATTTAGATGGTAGGTGGCCTATGCTAAGGGAGGCATCACAGTTCTGCTTATTTGTGATCGCATAGAACTGATAAGCAAATTTGTTTGAATGATAGCATGGCCAAAAGAAAGGTTTTTAAAACCACTAACCCAAAATATCTTCCTGATTTGTTAAAGGTCACAATTTTAAAGAGTGAGCTCTACCCAGAGAGAAGCTTCATCTCATTTTTTTTTCTTTCTCCCTTTTTCTCACTGCAGGTTAACTGCAATGGCTTCACAATTGAAGATGAAGAACTTTCTCATTTGGGATCAGCGATATTTCCTGAGTAGGCTGAGTTTGACTTCTTTCCTTTTGTTTTTACTTACTTAACACTAATTTGATTTTTTTTTTTTTTTCATTTTTAAATAAGCCACCTAACTGCGTGTGGCAGACATGAAACTCCAAGTGAATTAAAACAGGTTTTTAATCTGCCAGGTTTCAAAATATTTCCCCTACACTTAAGGCTGCAAAGGTAGTAGTTAAGAGAACAGTTGCTTGTTAAGTCCTGCTAAGCAGAGAGCTGCTGTTAAAGAATATTTTATAGTGTGCATAGAAGGAACAGCCCATGCCCTGCTGAGAAATTAGCTTTCTGCTTATCTGTGGTTCTGGAAATCTTTGCATTTCTTATGCTCAAAGTGAAACATTAATTGCCAGCCAAGAATTGGCCACAGGCTTGAGTACAGAATATATGAGCTTCTTCTCCATCTGTCCCTTTTGATAAATACCAGTACAGAAACAGCACAATTTGGAGGGAGAATATGCTGAAGTAGTGAGCCGGGAAAAATTTCGAAGAACTATAGGATTTTCTCTCGACTTGAAGAATACTTGAGTAATTCAGCAAAGGATAGCCAGTTGACAAATGGAGATCTTTATAGATCTGACTTTAATGGATTGCCAAGAATGATTTTACCTTTGTGTGTGTAAGGTCTGTTGCCAAGTTAAATGAGGAAATGAGGCCGGGAGAGGTTCTATGGTCCGGGAAAGGGGCCAGAGAAGTCGCGCTCTACCTCTCTGGGCATGGGTTTTTATAGGGAGTGGAGGCAATTGATTGGTTATTGGGGAAACAAAGCGAAGGCAACTTTATTGGTTATATGAAAACAGGATGTGCACCGGGCGGGCTGTTGTTGGTTGGCGGGCGGGGCTTTGGATAAGCGGGCTGGCCGGGGGCGTATGGGGCAGACTGCTATTGGGCAGGGTTTGGCGGGGCTTCTTTAAATTTTGTGGCGGGGTCTTCCAACGGCGGGCTGGAGGCTGAGTGCATAGTTTGGTGTTGAGTGTATACTTGGGTGTATTATGCAGAGGTGGGTGTGGGGAAGCCACTTGGGGAGGCCAGATGCTGAGTAATGGCTTGGAATGATGACATAGTTATCAGGCGTGGAGAGGTATGGGTGTGTCCATTCAGCTCCCGGGGAGGCAACCGGCCTTACAGTCTGTCTCATGGAATGAGAATTTCCAAAATGCTTCAGTCCCTGAAATTAAACCCTGCTTCACAGATAGAGCCACAGAATTTGTGCATCTCCCCGCTCCAAATCAATACACCTTGTCGATGACTTCCATCTAGGGGGAGGTTGCTTAACATATACTACAGGGGCCTTTGGCTGTAGGTTGCCACATACGTGGGAAACCCTTAACACTCATGCATTTGCCCTGAATGATGTGCCTGCCCTTAGCTATGTGCATCAGCCACAGGTGTAGGTCAGAAAGAGAAGAATCCATACAGGTCTGTGTCTCATGAGCAGCTATCACAGGCTTACTTGAACCAGACAGACTAAAAAGTTTATTCACCTAATATTACTGTCCTTGGGGCCAAAATGGTGTCATCTGCAGTTGCAATTCTAGTAGTGAGGAAAGAAGCATTTTTTTTTTAACTTTGGCCCCTGGGAAAGGCAGGAGAAAAAGAGGGCATTGGATTCACTGAAGAAGGCGCATATTGACACCTTTAGAACTGAAATGAACTATGAAATGTCTCTGTTCTCGATATCTTAAAGACCAAAAGATTAAGAGTGAGGTGCTCCCTCACACAGTGGTTCACACCTCTAATCTCAGCACTTTGGCAGGCCAAGGCGGGTAGATCACGAGGTCAGGAGTTCAAGACCAGCCTGACCAACATGGTGAAACCCCGTCTCTACTAAAAGTACAAAGATTAGCTGGGCATGGTGGCATGCGCCTGTAATCCCAGCTACTCAGGAGGCTAAGGCAGGAGAATCACTTGAACCCAGGAGGTGGAGGTTGCAGTGAGCCGAGCAGTGAGCGAAGATCACGCCACTGCATTCCAACCTGGGCTCTCCATCTCAAAAAAAAAAAAAAAAAAAAAAAAAAATTGGTACTTTGAGGATTCACACCTTTCAGTGGTTGCCAAGAGAATTGTGATACCAAGAATATGAGTTGTTTCAGGGTCTTTGCCTTCATATATTTCCCCCACCTTCATTAAAAAGATACCAAGTCTGTCTTGAACTAACAGTTCTGCAAGGTGGTTTTAGAAATGTGCTTTTATTTTAAAACAACTACTCTTTCGATGCATTTGTTTATCCGATTTCCTACAGCCAGATTCCTTGGGCATCGCCTTCCAGGAAGCCAGGTGGGCCTTGGTGTAGAGCAGAGGTGGTCCTTCCCAAGGTCAGGACCAGGAAGTTGCTACATGTTTGTCCCAGGCACCCGGCCAACCACACACTTTGCTTAGGCCTTTAGCAACCGGGAGGTGGGGGAGTGCACTTGGCAATGGCCAGCCTGGGGCAGCTCATCCTCATCAGGCTTCGAAACCCCTTTCCCTCTTTGTATTCTCGGAGCAAGCAGGAGAGGGGCTGTGGTCTCTGAAGGGTCAGGGAGGTGACGTTGGCCACCAGAGCAATGACACACATGGCTGTGAGTGCCCATAGGAGCATGAGCCCCAGTTTCCGGGCAGTTTTAATTGGGGGAAAAAAATCCCTTTGGGCTGAAATCATATCGGCATTGTGATTTCAAAGGCAGCATTTTCAGAGATCAAGCACTTTTTCCCTGTAGTTTAGAAATTTCTGTTCTCAGAACTTTGACCTTGATATAATCAGAAAGCTCAAAGCACCTCGCATAGGCGAATCTCTCTCTCCTTCTCGCTGTCCCTGAAAAGCAGACAGTGAGCAGCAGGAGCAGTAATGTCCCAATTTTCCAGATGAGGAAATTGAGGTGCAGAGAAACTCAGACGGGCGTCTCCGGGTCTCTCAGGGGATCACACACCCTTCCCTCCTTAGGAAGCTGGCATTTCTCAACATCTGAAAAAAAAAACGTGAGAAATAATCCACTAATACAAAAAGCTGCTTGAAAATGGCAACGCATCTGTCTTTGACATTGTATAGTGGAGTAGCAGTTAGCTGTGGGTACTGGGTTCTGAGAGCCGCATTCTATCAGGACGGAATATTTGTGGCATTTGTTGTTTTTGTTGTTGTGTGTTTTTTGGTTTTGGCTTAGATATTACATGAATTGTGGATTTCCGTTTTTAATATGGTAAAAGTCTTAGATGGTAGCTAGGATTATCAATGCATGCAGAACAACTTCTTAGAATATGATAGCCAACTATTAGATTTTTTAACAATGTCTTGTAAAGATTCAGTTCCTTTGACTTAGCAAGTAAGTAGTCAAGGAGACTAAACAGCCTCCCTGTCTCATTTTAAAAACTGGGTTTTCTCTTCCGATTGACAGTGTTGCATTGATGAATCATAGCTGTTGCCCCAATGTCATTGTGACCTACAAAGGGACCCTGGCAGAAGTCAGAGCTGTACAGGAAATCAGCCCGGGAGAGGAGGTGAGTTCATGGCTATGGGTGGCTGCAGCAGGGGGCTGGAAACTGCTCTTTTAAAAGGCAATGTGGACAGATCTGTGCAGTGTTATTTGAAGTATGAGCCGTGAATGCTTCCAGCAGTTCAGCTGAGTCCATCCTCAGGCTCCCCTGGAGTCAGTGATCAGATTTGTGACCTGTAGCTTAGATTCCCACACTTTGGGGCTTCTGTTTAGTGCTTACCTTTTCCATCAGTGGTTAAGAAAAACAAAAACATAATAAATTTGACTTAAATTCCTCACAAAGCTTTATATTTACAGAGAAAGAAGACATTTACTACCAAAATGACCACAGTGAAACTTGATTTTCTTTAGAGTCTCTCTATCCCTGCTGCCAAACAATGGAGTTTGAGCCTTATTAATTTTTGGTGAATTCTTGCTTGTTGCCCACCATCCCCCCAAGGTCCGAAGTGAAAGCAAGCAAGTGACGCAGCAATAGCTAAAGAACTGGCCCTGCAAATGACACATCAGCATTTCGTGCTCTGTCAGTTCCACATGTGAACTTCAGGTCATAGTTCACTTTTTAGGAACGTGATTCAAATGCCCAGGTATATGCAGTCATAGGAGAAATCGAGGCAGTCTGTGGCCAAGAGGCACACTGGCTTCCCTCCTCAGCTTTGGGATGTGGAGAGAACCAGCCAGCTGACCCATCACCTGCTCCATGATTCCCTGTCCCCTTCCCATGTTTGATTCCTGACTACCTCATGGGACATCTCACCTGGGAAGGGCTGGCCTGGTGGATTGCTGTAGTATGCTCTGTTCTTAAGTAAATCCCCAGCAAGACAGGAATTTTTGGGGACTTGTAATCACACACTTAGGTTAAATTTGAGTTTAGCAATTTGTAATGCTATTCTATGGTGCACATCTGGGTATTAGAAGTGTGAAGTGTGACTGTCAGTGTGCTGAGTGAGAAATGCTTTGCTTTCTCTGGAAGGTGCTCACTCATCCACAGTGGTACTGGGAGCTGAGGCCCAAGGCACAGGTTGGCCCTTCCACCCTCAGCTAAATCCATCGTGATGAGGGTGTGTCCCTTTTCGGCTGGGGTGTCTTGAGTTTCTGAATGTCTTGTGGAGACTGCCCTGAAGGCTTTCTTGAAACAGATCATTACAGCCAGTCAGAATGTAATGACCTGGCTCCATCCCGCCTGTGGGCTGACTGCAGAGATGAGCGGGTTGTCACCTAGGCTGGCTCAGTCTGACCGTGAGCAGTGGTACTGGAGTGGCCTTTGTCGCCATCTTCTGGAACCTTCCGTGTGTTGCACTGTGTGTCGGTTATTTCAGAGATAATGGGACAGGCTCTTGCGGTGTGAGGCAGGGCAGGGCTGGCTGCGGTTTCCTTTTGCCATCATGTTCTCCCAGATCTGAAACACAGTGACTTCATTTTTGGGAAGTCAGTGCTTTGGGGGTTACTTACCCTTCAGAGGAGGAGAAACTCCATTCCCCAGGGTTTCAGGGTGACCTGCAACATGTCCAGTACTGCCCTGTGGGCTGGGGAGAGCTTGGCTGCCCCTGTAGCACCGAGCCTCATGCGTGTCCTCCCCTGCCTGCCTGGCGGTGCCCGCGGTCACTGGCACACAGGCGACTTTGTGAGATCCATCTGTTCAGTCAGACATTTGCCTGATTGTGTGGGATGGGCAGCCAGTGCTGTCCCAGTGAGTAGGTAATGGACATCTAAATGTTGGTCTCCTCCATATGCTCCAAGTCTTAGTTACAGACCCCGTTAGGAAAAGGCGAGGACAGTGGAGCCCCAGTTCTGCAGGATAAGGAGCTGCCCGCCCTGCCAGGCCGCAGCATTCTGGTGACCTAGAAGTTGCGTTCACCCTCCACTGGTCTTTGGGCCACCCAGGGCTGTGGGTCCCAGCCCGCCGAGCGGAGCCTCCCGCTCCGTTGCCAGCTGATGTGAGGAGAAGAGGAACTCAGCTGCATGTGTGTGCGCTCATGTCCTCCCCTGCACACACCCAGTGATGATGGCAATGAAGCATTCGAACCATTCCAGGTAGTGAAACGTGAGACTACATGAAGGCCAGGCAGAGGCAGCCAAGGGAGCAGGGATCCCTGCACCCTCCAGGTCCCTGTTTTAAGGGTTCCTTGATTCTACAGACTCTTTCCACTAATCTGCATCTTGGCTTCAGCTCCCAGTTCATCTGTGGACTAGTGAACACCTTCCGGAGAAAGCCAGCGTCCGGTGGCTGCTCAGTGTAGGAAGTCAGTGCCTTAAAGTAAAGAGCGGACTCCTCCACTGCAGCCCGCCTGATCCTCTATCCCTGCATGGATGCCGCCACAGCTGAGTGCAGAGGCATGGGAATGAGTTTACCTGTAGCAGACTGAAGCTTTACCTTTTTGGACCCCATAGGTTTTTACCAGCTATATTGATCTCCTGTACCCAACAGAAGATAGGAATGACCGGCTAAGAGATTCTTATTTCTTTACCTGTGAGTGCCAGGAGTGTACCACCAAGGACAAGGTAAGGCCGTTCATGGGGCAAGAGCACTGATTGCACCCTGATCTTAGAACGTCTCTGTGGAAGAGCTTGTCTGACTTGGTAGGTCTCCTCTAGGATCTTTTTGACCCTTTAAACCCTCCTTACAAAGCCAGCCAGAGGGAATCCAGTTAGACCAGGTCTCCGTTCAGACCTGCTCCCAGTAGTTAAAGAAAACATTTCCATTATGCTGTACACCTAAGCAAAGGATCTGCCAAACTGCTCTTTCTCGAAACAACTGCTCATGGGAGGAAAGAGAAAAGCACATGAGTATCATCTTTAGGCTTTCCAGCCTGTCCACCAGAGTACGTGGAAGTTCCAAATTGTTTTTCTGTCAATGCCTGCCTGCCTTGGTCTAGTCTCTTGATTTGTAGATGTGTGGACATGTATATCTGCCCATAGCCAACACATTCTAGATAAGGAGTGTCTAGAAAATAATCTATTAGTTTTGTTTCTGTTAAAAGGTAATGGAATACTGAATTTCTTTAGATGCACTGCCTGATTTCCTCTCATTCTTTTGTAACCTTGGAATGGGCCAGTATCTACCTCTGTATGGGAACATGTATTATATGAAAGGTCTCCCCATCAGTGTGGTTTCCATGGGAGGTAACGCCTTGCCCTTGTGGACATTTCTTTCAGGATAAGGCCAAGGTGGAAATCCGTAAGCTCAGTGATCCCCCAAAGGCGGAAGCCATCCGAGACATGGTCAGATATGCTCGCAACGTCATCGAAGAGTTCCGGAGGGCCAAGCACTACAAATATATCCTTTACAACTGCCTGATAGTTCATGATCCCTCACCAGCAAGACAGGGTGGGAGGCTGGGAAGCGGGAGCAAGAGAAGGATGGGCCTCAGATTCTGAAAATGGAAGGAGGAATGTCTCCTGGTAAATGTGTATAGATGTTCTGACCACTCACGATGTGGTGTCCATCCTATCAGAGTGGTATGGCCGTATTTCCCCTTATTTGGCTAGTTTGGCTGGGCACTGCATCTGGTGGAGGACCGTGAAGGACAGACTTTTGATGGCCTTGTGCGCTGGGTATTTTACTTCGGGCAAGGGCCTCGCTTATTTCAGCTCTCCTCACAGGCATACTCTGAGCAGAGACTTCCCTCATTCCCATGCCGCGGATGAGGAAACAGACTGATTGATAGATATTAAGTTTACCCAAGGGACACAGCTGATTGTCCTAGGTGGTTGACCTAGGATTTTGTCCCAGCTCTAACTATCAGAATCCATATTCTTAACGTTGGTATTATAGCATTTTCGTGGGAGTTGAAAAGGGATTAGATTTGTACCCTAAAGAGTAGAATTTAAAACCAGGGAGAGGAAATTAGAGAAAGGCATGTCGTTTCTCAGCATAAGAAAGAACTGTGCCATAGTGGGAGTCATCCTCAGGGTTCCAACTTGGGTGAGGACTTGAATTTGATTAGAATTGTGAGTCTAATCGACACTGTTTACATCAAAACTAAGGGTCTGGACCCTGCGGCTAAAATTCTTTGTTGAGCAGTTCAGATCTTCAGGTTTTCTTCCTTTGTTTCTTCTAGAGAAATGTAATTCCTTTCACTTTTGCTTCGCTTTCTGTAAGTTACTCTTTCCTGGGGTGAGGGTGAGAGTGGAGGGGAGAAAGAACTTGAACCCTGGGGAAGTCTCCAGGCGGCATGGGCCCGGACGGCTGTTTCCTTGACTCCACAGCACCCCCTAGTGAGCTGCTGGAGATCTGCGAGCTCAGCCAGGAGAAGATGAGCTCCGTGTTTGAGGACAGTAACGTGTACATGTTGCACATGATGTACCAGGCCATGGGTGTCTGCTTGTACATGCAGGACTGGGAAGGAGCCCTGCAATACGGACAGAAAATCATTAAGCCCTACAGGTGATTTGGTCGTTTAGAATGTATACAATAGTGTCGTCTTCCTGCCCATTGCTGAGACTTGACTAGCACAGCTGCCTCTTCTCTGCACCCACATCTGGAGGTGCTGGTGCAGGGCGCTGCTCCCAAGTGAGGCCTCTTCTCGCCACCGTCCCGAGGAGACAGGTTGAGGTTCTGCAGTGGGTACTGGGGCAAGATCCTTCTCAGGTCCATCCAGGGCCGTATCCATAGCAGTCAACTCAGGCTAATTTTGAGAAGCCACCAGTTTGCTTCTTTTCCCACCCACCACTTCCAAGTTCAATGGCCAAGTTTAGTTGCTAAGCGGTAGTCTTAGAAATCCTGCTTTTCATCATTACTTGCGCCATCCCCTTCTTTTGCCTTTTCAAATTGCGGTCCCAGTTTGCAAATGGGGAAGCTCTGGCACCAATGGGTTGACCGCGGTTATCTAATCTCCCCACCCCAGGTTTGAAAAAAAAGCAAATTGCTTTTTAATTTGTAGTAATAGTGAATATTCGCCATGGAGAGATTTTCTGCCTGAGAGACTAAACCTAGAAGTGGCTGACAGGCGGAAGCTGTGGGCTTGTCGTCTAGCTCTGCGAGACACTTCAGGGCTGGATGGCCTTGCTGGCATCGCTGAAGCTCTTTGTAAAGGCACTGATGTTAGCATTTACAGGGTACATCCAACACCAAGTGGGCCACATGATTCACGGTTGCTGGACTGAGACCCAGAAATTTGTGTTCTGGAAGCATCCTAGGTGTTTCTCAGGAGATTGAGAGGCCCTCAGTCCCCTTCCAGTTCTGAGATTAGGGTCTCTGAAGGTTGTGTCTGGTTTGAATGTCCACTGCCCACTCCACCCTCTACTTACCCCACTGTGCCCTCATTAGCCAGCAGGGGGAGCCCAAAGGAAGCCAGCTCCTCAAATCTGCTCTTGGAAACACATTGTTAAATTGGGGATAAACTCAATCTTTCCATTTCTCCTGGAGTTGGGGGAGGAGGTCCACTGGCCTCATGCACTGCTGTCTCTGTGAGATCTGTAGGGAGGGAGAGGCAGACAGACAGACAGCATCCCAGCCCTGGGGCTCTCCCAGCAGGGCCTTGCTGTGCTACACCCATCTTTACCTACACAAGCCCCTCCCGGAGGCCCAGCTCTGGTCTTCTGTGGGGCCATGGGTCCCAGAACTGCCTCTTGCCCAGGAATGCAGCTAGAACTTATCTTTTTTAGGCCAACTTTTAGGGGAGACAGAGTGGAACAGCCTAACCATTAAATAAACACCTCTTACACACATGTAAACAGACACACAGGCTCACCCACCAGCTGCCTCTGGGCCCTGTTATGAGGAAAATGGCTGTTTCCCAGGCAGACTCCATCAGTCAACCTTCAGATACAACCAAAAACAACACCTGCTGTATCTAAAGCCCCTGCTAGACAATAGGGAAAGAAAATCCAGAAGACATAGGAAGCGTTCTGACTTCAGAGCACTTACAGTTTTGCTAAAGCAATCCATATCATAGTGTCACAGGGAGCTGGGGTATTAAGACACATCAGGGTGTGTATATGTGTGTGTCTCTTGTCTGTCTGAGTGCACTGTCCTAATGTGAGGTGATAGACCTATCATAAAAACAGCTTTTAAGTAAATGTGCCTTCATAAATGGGGCACTTATTTAAAAGCTGTTTTCCCAGGGTCTTCCTTTGGCTCTATCTGAAAGAGAAAACTCTGGACGGGGATTGAAGGTTGTATTTACAGATGCTTTTGAATAGGGATTTCTCCTGCAGTTGTTACGTAGCTTTTCAGAAAACACAAACTGCAAATAATGAACAGTGTCTGCAATGATTGGGCAGGACTGCAACATCCACACGCTCCACCCAGACCCTGGCGGAGTTTGGAGAGGTTCCTGGTGGGGAGAGGTTGGCCCTGAGCACAGCGGCCTCTGGCTAACTGCACCTAGCCTGTGGGGCGGCTCAGCAGCCTCTGACACGGTGGCCTGTTGCCTTCTCTTGTTGCAGTAAGCACTATCCTTTGTACTCGCTCAACGTGGCCTCCATGTGGTTGAAGCTAGGGAGACTCTACATGGGCCTGGAACACAAAGCCGCCGGGGAGAAAGCCCTGAAGAAGGTATGTCTGTAACTCAGCCTTAGGATTCCCAGTGGCCAGACGGCCTCAGTGCACCTCCTTCATGCCTCACCAAGCTGAGGGGCTGCAGTGGAGGGTGAGCAGCTCTCACCCACCCTCTGGCTGCTGGTGCAGCTGGGGTGAGTCCTGCAGGTGAGCATGGAGTGAGCAATAACTTCTGCTGTGTTTGTGCCCAGGCCTTCCTTGAAGGGAAGGGGTGCACACATCAAGAGGACTGGCTGTGATCACAGGCCCAGCCTGTGCCTGGAGGAATTCTCCGTTTTCAGAAATTGCTAGGATTTTCAGAATGATGATCCTTAACTGTGGTGAAGTCAAGGAGGTGGGATATGGAGAGTTAGGGTTAGGGTGTTAGGATTGCACATTGGCTGTTTCTAAAATGCACTTAATCATCCTCTTAGTTCATCGAGAACCAGTTATATACGAAAACTGTTGCATGCTTTTTCTTTGAATTCTCACAAAAATGAGAGGCTTTCCTAATGAAGAAAGTGAAGTTCAAGCAGGTTAAGTGAGTAATAGCCTAGGTTACATGGTGGGGATTTCATTCAAATGAGGGTCTTTCTAAGTTGTAAAGCTTCAGTTTTTCTCCCACTCAAGCTGTGAGGAAACTGGTGGGTGCCAGGCTCCTGGACAGCATTCGCCTTTGGTTTGATGGCTGCCTTGTGCTGCCTGGTGGCCAGGCCCTGGCCCTCACATCACAGGAGCTCAGAGTCAATTATCCTGAGTCTTGATTCCCATTGTTTGTGATGTGGAATTAACAGTCAATACAGTGTAATTTGGGGGATAGTCCATTTACTCCTGTAAAAGACTTTATAAAATGTTGGGGCTGTGGACAAGGCCTGCAAACCTAATCCTTCACATTCTCCAAAGCTTCCCAGTAGACTATTTGGGAAGATGGAGTGAGGCCCACATCCCAAAGAGAAGGGTCAGGGCACAGCCAGGCTGGAAGGGAGCGTGAAACAATGTTTTCTGTTTTAAACCATGGAATTTGTCCTGAGATAACACATGTATTGTCCTAGTGAGGTCGAGGGAAAATTGGCCATTGAGGTCACAGTTGCAAAGTGTGTCAGGTAATTCAGTAATAGATCTGATCAAGGAATGTCAGTCTTGAAATGAATGCAGGGGCAGGGGCAGCACCTGAAACCGGTGATTTCCGAAGGCTTGCACTGTTACCTGGCCTGCCTCCTCTTGGCTTGAGACTAGGAGGAGAATAGGTAATAGATAGGAGTGCCTGTCAGAGTCACAGGTCATCAGAAATTCTCAGGGGGAATATTTTTTTCTCTGAGTAATTTGGCTGAATACAAAAGAGCAAATATGTTCTTAGAGATGACATTTGATACAAACTTCCTATATGCCAGGGACTGTTCAAAACACAGTATCTGAATTAACCCTAAGAGGTAGGTATTATTTCCAGCTTTACAGTTGGGGAAAATGAGGCACAGAGTAGTTAAGTAAATTACCTAAGGCCACACAGCTAGGAAATGATTAAACCACTGGAAACTTGACCATTTTACATTGCCCTACTGTAAAGAAACCTTATTAAGTACATTCTCTCTAGCATCCCCCAGTGAAACTTTCTACCTTTCTTTAAATTTTTAAAGTATGTATTGAAAGAGTGTGCTTTTTCAAAGGGAAAAATGGTTTAACCATATCTTGCCGATCAGTAATGTCAGCTAAAAATCAAAATAGTTGTGATATAAAATTAACTATGGACTTTCTGTGCCAGCATCACCTATTTTCTGGGTTGAACATAATCAACAAATGTAGTCCTTAAAGCATTTCTTACTGAAATATCTTGACTCTTGGGGCAAGAGAATATCATGAAATCAGTTTCACGACATCATTTCTCCAGCCGCTACCTGAATTATTTTCGCAGAATGTTTGACCTAGCAGTAGACACTGGATGAGCTGGCTACCAGATGGTCTTGTCTCCTTTTTAAAAAAAAAAGCCTGGTCGTGGAGGAGAACAGAGGCTCTACTAGCCAGTTTGCATCCCGTGCCTGAAAGCAGAGCGATCCAACGTAAAAGTTACCCCGGCGGAGGTATGGGGGATTGGCTCCCAGGCCCTCACCGTTTGTTTGTCTCACTCTTTCCTAGGCCATTGCAATCATGGAAGTAGCTCACGGCAAAGATCATCCATATATTTCTGAGATCAAACAGGAAATTGAGAGCCACTGAAACTATACAACATTTCAGTTTTCATTTAATGCTTAGTTCAGAAACCTTAAAGGACTTGAATATTGCAAATCGCACACATCACTCCAGCATTTCTGTAAAATAATTGGAATGAAAAATACTTCTTGCACTTAATGCACATGCCATCCTTTGAGATTAGTCTTAATCTTGAACGTTAATATCAAATTAATTTTGAATGCTTTTGTTTCCAAGAGGTAATGGCATGGTTTCATTTACTTTAGACAGACCAAGTTTTGAAAATCCAATTATTTTTCCTTTCATGCCTCTTGTAATGTTCTGAACAAACTTGAATGATGAAAGAAAATAAAAGAGATACCAGTATTCGAGGCTTGTGTTTTCTTCCATCTGTGGGGAGGATTCCTCCGTGGTGGTGGGAGCCCAGTCTTGTAGTGGAAGTGACACCTGCTGTCCATAATTCAGCAAGCTCAAGTCTCCTCCCTGCGACTGGGGTTGGGCAGCCTCTTTAATGGTACTGCAGCTGTGGAGGAAGAAAACAGGAAGAAAGAGAAAAGGTACAAGAGGAAAGAAAAGTATCTGTGGTGGAGAACACTCAAGTGACCCAAGTGCCCTCCGGCAAGCGAGAGGTTCGAATCTGTTCTCCGGTGCCTGGTATTCCTTCAGTGTGGAAAGGTGCTTAGTGTGTGCATTGCTTTCTTGGCTTTTATGTCCCCATCTGTCTGAAAGCAGATTTGCCATCTCATTCTGTTGATTGTTCTGTGCAGTACTCTCCTTCTTTGGAAAGACTCCAGGGTATGCTTGGGAAGGAAAAAATTTTTTTTCCTTACCAACCAACCCTGTGTTGTTGAGTAAACACTGATCCCTACACACACAGACAACAGGAATCCAGCTTTCCACAGCCCCACAGCCTTGATGGCAGCAACCTGGGAAGTTGTTTGTTAGCAACCATTGCACAGAAGGACCCAGCGCACATTCCTGAGTGCAGGGGTTTTACTGTTAGAAAAGTATCTTGCCGTCCAAAGAGAGGAACTTCCCCATTGGTTAATAAGTAAAGCCTGTTGAAATTTACACATCAATTACCTTCATAGTCATGGTCTGAAAACAGAACGGCCGTAAATCTGGTACATTTTCCTCCCCTCCTCATCTACACGCACCCGCATCTTCACACACATGCCCGTCTTTCGCACGCAGTTTACTGCACACAGTGGGATTTAGCAGACAGGATGCATTCTCTTGTCCTGTGTAGAACAATAAGACATTTATTGAACACCTGGTACTGTCTATGCAAAATGCTCTGAATAGCTCTCTAGGTGCAGAGAGAAGACTAAGGCATGGTCCCAGATCAGTGGAACTTAGTGTTTTAAGAATGCTCATTTACTATATATTCTCTAACAAAACCTAAAATAAGCTTGGCCTACCATTGCCACAGGTTTTATAAAATTTGCAAAAGTAATCCTTTCTCAATAAACTCAAGTAATAGAAATGTATATGAAAAAAGTAAACTTTGTTCCTCACCAGTCCCACTGCGTGCAACTACCTGCTATAAACGGTTTGCTTTATGTGGTTCCAGGTTTTTCCATTGCTGGATGATATATCTGTATAAAGAGATTTAGATCTAGAAGAACAAAGACAGGATACTGCTGACAGGATTTTGTAACCTGCTTCTCTGAATCAACAAAATGGATCTCTTTGCATTTCAGCACTTACAGATTTGCCTCATTCTATTTAGAGGCAGAATATTGTGTTGGATGCATGTCATCGTGGACTCAGTGCTTCTATTTATGGACATGAGGCTTTTCCCAGTTTGCTGCTATTACAAGCGATGCCACAATGAATGGTCTGAAACATAAAAACATAAAACTTTGCTGTCGTGTGGTAGCATTTTGGGGAATAGATTCCTACTAGAAGTGTAATTTTAAGATCCAATAGTGGGAACCTTTTTAAAATTTGAATAAATATAGCCACATTTTCTTTTGTAAAAAAAAAAACTGCATCAGATACCAATAAGATATAATAGTATTTGTGGCCAGGCATGGGTGGCTCACTCCCACAATCCCAGCACTTTGGGAGGCTGAGGCGGGTGGATCATGAGGTCAGGAGTTGGAGACCATTCTGGCCAACATGGTGAAACCTTGTCTCTACTAAAAATATGAAAATTAGCTGGGCATGGTGGCGTGTACCTGTAGTCCCAGCTACTTGGGAGGTTGAGGCAGGAGAATCCCTTGAACCTGGAAGGCAGAGATTGTAGTGAGCCAGGATCGTGTTACTGCACTCCAGCCTGGTGACAGAGTGAGACTCCATCTCAATAATATTTGCTTTTCTCTCCCTCATAACATTGTATTATCAATAAAATGTTTTTGGCAATCTAATGTTTGAAACGTTTTGTTTTATATACATTAGTGAGATAGGATGTTTTTCATATAGGAATTATTTTCTTCGGTGAATTGACATTCATGGCTGAGCCATTTTTAGCACAACACTTTCTGACACCAAATGTTTGAGGTTTTATCTCATACCAGCTATTCTCTAACTCTTTGGACACCAACTGTGTGTCCTACAATTCAGTTCTATTCTGATACTGCCCTGGAGTTAGCGTCAGACTTCATAGGTTTAAAGACTCCATCCCACAAGACTTCCCTCACTTCAGATGCCAGTTGGAAGGATCTTACTCTGTCACCCAGGCTGGAGTGCAGTGGCATAATTTTTTGTGTGTTTTTAGAGGTGGGGTCTTGCTGTCCTGCCCATGCTGGTCTCAAACTCATGGCCTAAAGAGATTCTCTCCCCTCAGCTTTTTAAAGTGCTGGAATTACAGGCATGAACCACCTTGCCTGGCTCCCAGGTTACCCAGTTTCTATCTGACTTGGCCACAAAGTCAGGGGGTTCCCACAATCCCCTCCCCTTCATGTTTGATAATTTGCTAGAAAGGCTTATCAAAGTCTGGAAAACATTTTACTTCCTATTACTGGTTTATTAGAAAAGATACAAATGAACTGGCAAATGAAAGGTACATAAGGCAAGGTCTGGAAGGGTCCGGAGCACAGGAGCGTCCATCCTCATGGAGCAGATGTGACGCCTTCCTGGCACATGGATGTGTTCGCCAACTCGGAAGCCCTCCAAACCCCACTGTGGGGGTTTTAAATCACTGATCCTTTAATGACGTAAAGGATCATTAGTCATTGAATGAAATCATTGGCCAATGATGATTAACTCTGTCTCCAGCCCTTCTATCTTCCCCACAGGTTGGGATGTTGAGGCAGAACATTACAAACTTTTAATCAAGGCTTAGTCTTCTGGAGGTTACTCCTTATCCTGAAGCTATCGAAAGGCCCACCAGGAGTTGCCGTACTGGAACAAAGAAGACTTCTATCACCTTTATCACTTAGGAAATTCCAAGGGTTTTAGGAGCTGTGGGCCAGGAACTGAGAACAGTGACCAAATATCTTTCTTTGATAGTAAAGGACACCCTTTGGTCTCTGACCACAAATTTCTCCTAAAAAAGGATTATGTTTACTGGCACATTTCTAGCTTCCCATGTAGTCCCTGATGATTAATCCAGTCTATCATCCTATTGCATGAAAATGCCTCCCTAGCTGAGGCCACTCAGGCGTGCAGGCTTCCAGTTGATCTTGTCAGGTTCCACAGGCGAAAGTGATCTAGGCAATATGTCCTCACGCTTTCAGTCCTCTGGTATAATTGAGCTAAGAAAATGATCATCTCTTGTTCTGAGCCCTTTTCAAGATGTCAGTACGATACTGGATTTCCCCTATTACATAATTCACTTAGGCATTCCTTTGCCCTCAGCTGCGATTTCTCTCCATTTATCCCCTTTCTTCACCTTTGGAAGAGAAATTAGGTTCCCCCTCTGTGCTGGTCTAGGTTACAGACAGCAATACTAGTCTAACAAATCCCTCCACTTCAGTCCGGTCCCTTCAGATAGGGTAGAATTACATCGTATAGAGCTAGTGGGCTATTTCTGCCGCTAGGCAATAGAACTGTAGTCACTTGTAACCCCAATTTTGCCAAACAGGATGAAGGCCTCACCTGCCCCATCAGGACCTTAGGAATTCTGACATAAAGGTTTAGAAACACAGTTCCAGTTGCTTGCTGGTAGTTGCAGCCCTGGTCCTGGGACCACTGCATCAGATTGGAAAAAGAAAATTGAGATGATGTAGGGAAGGAGAAAAAAAGTGTGATCATACCAGCATCCTTTCCCAACCCCTCTTCCCCGGGTTCACCAGAAAAACAGGACTCTCTCCAATGGGGACAGTCCCTTAGGCCCCCCTTTTTTTATGTGAGCACACACTTGTGAAGGCATGGAAGCCAGCCCTTCCGGCCTTTATCTCCCCCTATTTTAGAGAGTATTTCAACTGCCTGTTCCAATTCTCTATTAAGCCATTTCTCTGAGGATAATATGCAGCATAATGTGCCCATTTGCACTGGAGGACGTAGTGGGCTGCAAAGTGTGTCCCTTGGTCTGGAATGGGTGCAGTAGCTTCCAGTTTTTTTGTTTGTTTTGTTTTGTTTTGTTTGTTTTTTTTATGAGAAGAGTCTCGCTCTGTCGCCAGGCTGGAGTGCAGTGTCACGATCTTGGCTCAGCCAAGATCCTGCCTCAGCCTCCTGAGTTGCTGGGACTACAGGTGCATACCACCACGCCCGGCTAATTTTTATATTTTGAGTAGAAATGGAGTTTCACCATGTTGGGATGGTCTTGATCTCCTGACCTGGTGATCTGCCCACCTCGGCCTCCCAAAGTGCTGGGATTACAGGCTTCACACCCGGCTCTTCTGATTATTTTAGAGCACTCTGAGCATACTTGTATCTATCACTGGGTAAGCAAAACCCAGTCCAGAGGCAGTGTGTATTTCTCTCAAGATCCAGTAGTGGCCTTGTGGGCCTGCTGGCATTAGCCTGACTTGCCAGCTATGTTCAGGGTCCCCACTCCAGGGAATCTGCCAGGTAGCCATCTTTTATCTCTTTGGTTGGCGAACAGCTCTTAACTGGCATTTTGTTTCTCAGAGGGCGCAACAGGAATATGTCTAGATTGAGTCCATCTCTGCAATGCAGCCTGTCCCCGCCACGTCCACTCATTTCATGGACGTAGGTGGCCTCCTAGGTGAGCACATGAGAGTATCTGCTGTTGATTCCATTTACCTTCTGATGCTGAAAGGGTTTTCTTTTGATGGGCATTGATACATCCTACTTTAATGCATCCTTCAAATTCCCTTGGTGGTTTCCATCTGTGTGGCCCCTCCCTTTAATGGGCCAGTTTTCCATTGCCCTTCTGCCTGGCCATATTCACCAGCACCAATGAGCTGGTAAAAACCAAAACAAGCAGTTCAGTCCACCGAGCTTTTACCCTTCTT